GGGGTCCTTGCCACCAGCACACACCTCAGCAGGCAACTGGTACAAGGGTCCACACACACAGGGGGGGGAGGGGGGGGGGTCCTTGCCACCAGCACACACCTCAGCAGGCAACTGGCACAAGGGTCCACACACACAGGGGGAGGGAGGGGGGGGGGGGGTCCTTGCCACCAGCACACACCTCAGCAGGCAACTGGTACAAGGGTCCACACACACAGGGGGGAGGGAGGGGGGGGGGGGTCCTTGCCACCAGCACACACCTCAGCAGGCAACTGGCACAAGGGTCCACACACACACACAGGGGGGAGGGGGGGGGGTCCTTGCCACCAGCACACACCTCAGCAGGCAACTGGCACAAGGCTCCACACACACAACAGTTTAAGCCTCTACAAACTGACACTTAAGGTCATTACTATATTCTTTTTCTTTTATACTAATATTTATAGGGAATTTATTATATATATTATATATTACATATATTATAGGGAATTATATTATTTATTATAGGGAATACATCCCTATACATGTCATACACATTTTCCAATAGTTCATTTATATGTCTTATAATGTTTTTATAATGTTATAATGGTTGTTTTTCTACATTTAACACTGTTGTTTCTCTATATTTTCTTGCGTTGAATCTGCTTTAAAACCATTTTATCACTTTTGTTTACATTGGTTTTAGGAGATGACATTTTCCTGTTAAGATGATGCTCTGTATATCTGCAGGGATAAAAGTACCAGACTGTTTTTCCACATTTAACACTGCTATTTCTCCCTAAAACAAGGGTCTCTCTCTAGCCGCTGCACCATTACCAGTTTCTTTATTTGCTTCTTGAGATTTGGGTTCATACAACTGCTGCCTATTTCAGTTTTGGTCTCACAAAAGTCATGAACAGTTTTTAGTATTTCACCATCCATATAATTAAAAGCAAGTCTAAAGTTGGAAAGCGATGCGTATGCTCCTCTCACAATGTTCTTTGTGTGTTCCTCTGGCAACAGCTTACTGTACAAAACCAGCCCTAGGTCTCATTCTTTATTAGAGTTCTGTAATTCCATGCCACATAATTTGTAAATTTTGTGTGGTCTATTTTCTCCGAATCCATATTCCATAACACTTCATTTATACATATTGATTCCATTCGACACTTGACGCTTCAAGCACTTATTTTATCTAGATCTCTTTGAAGGGCATGACAATCATCTGCACCTCCCATCTTCCCCAGTATCTTAGCATCATCCACAAACATGTTCAAATAATTCTGTATTCCTTTTGGTAGATGGTTTATGTAGACGGTGAACAATACTGGTGCAAGAACTGAACTCTGTGGTACTCTGCTAGTAACACTCCTCCAGTCAGATACATTGTCTCTGATTACTGCCCTCATCTGTCTGTCAGTTAGAAAGTTTTTCATCCATGTTAGAAGTCTGCTTGTCACCCCCTCCAGCATGTTCAGTTTCCAGAACAGTCTCTTGTGTGGGACTCTGTCAAAAGTCTTTTTTAAGTCCAGATAGACACAGTCAACCCAACCACCTCTTTTCTGTACTATCTCTGTAGTTCTGTAGTTCTTTAGTTCTGTCATAAAAACTAAGATTTGTTACACAGGATCTTCCTATTCGAAAACCATACTGTTTGTCCATTATTATGTCATTACTCTCTAGGTGTTAAACTATTGTTTCTAGTTACTTTATCTAATTTTACTAATAATTTACTCTAATTTACTATATTAGTTACTCTAATTTTTTGCAGTAATATTATTCAATAGTGTGTAGTGTGATATATTTATATAATAAAATGTGTGAACCATCGTTATACTCAAAAGTATGGTGTGCATATCAGTGGTTCAATTATTATGTTCATAAACCAATAAACAAATATCTGTGCTGTTATTACACAATATACTATATTATTATATTATATTACATTATTATTATATTATATTACTATATTGTATTATATTACACAATATATACACATTATATAAAAGTAGCTGCATGTTTTGTTCACCATAACGTATCACTAAGCTGGTATGGTGCATCGAAACAGCATAATGGCCACCAACACACCAGCCAGCAAATGACACGTCCTCACTGCCAAGATTCCTCCTCCCACCAGACTGTTTTTCCTGTTATTACACCATATACACACATTATATATAAGTATCTACATGTTTTGTTCACCATAACTACAACTAAGCTGGTATGGTGTCCAAACAGCATAGCAGCCACTATACACAGCATGACAAGTCACACAGCAGCCAGTAGACGACAGCACCGTCCGTCGTCTACTGGCTGCTGTGTGACACTCCCTCCCTCACAACACCTCCCTCACCAAAATGGCTCCTCCCAGCATACTGTCTCTGTGCTGTTTACTACACTCTGTATGCACGTTATATATAAATATCTGCATTTGTGTTCACCTTAACAAACCACTAAGTTGGTAGGGTAAGTCCAGGCAATAGGGAGCCGGTCGGCCGAGCGGACAGCACACTGGACTTGTGATCCTGTGGTCCCGGGTTTGATCCCAGGCGCCGGCGAGAAACAATGGGCAGAGTTTCTTTCACCCTATGCCCCTGTTACCTAGCAGTAAAATAGGTACCTGGGTGTTAGTCAGCTGTCATGGGCTGCTTCCTGGGGGTGGAGGCCTGGTCGAGACCGGGCCGCGGGGACACTAAAGCCCCGAAATCATCTCGAGATAACCTCAAGATAACCAATAACAGAGGTGGCCGCACAGAGTCAGCAGACGACGCCACCTCCCTCCCTCCCTCCCTCACCAAGAAGACTCCTCCCACCATACTACACACATTGCTAATTCTCACCAAAATGCTGCTATTTTCAGAATCCTGGTCACTAAATTCTGTAAATGAATATTTTTCCACGTTTATTTTGTAAAGGAACATGACAAGTCGTTTCAAGATTCTTAGATGGACCAAACAATGGCAGTGTGCTGTGGAATATTGCTGTGAACATCTTGAATAGCATTGTGTTCACTGATATCTGAACATTGTACACAGTCATTATCACAGTCAAGCTCTTCTGTAATACTATCATCACTAAATAATTGCAGTTACAAACATATCTTGACATTTTTAAGCGATGCTGTGGTCACAAGCTGAACAGCAATGCTGTTAGCTCATGCTGCGTGCACCAGCCTTGGTTGCTCACTCGGTACTTAGGCTCTCACACCCGGGAATGTTACCCACGATTTAAAAAAAAAACAGCATCTGTTTATTAAAGCCCTGAGGAAGCTGATGTGAACCTCATGTAGCTGCGGGACTTTTAAATCTTATGCAGTACAGTACTGTACTTTAAAATGTATATATACAATGTGCGCCGTAGAGCCAGTTAGAACAAAATTGTATACAAGGCCCCTGTATATACAATTTGCACTTTTAAAGGGTTAAACTGCTGAGAATTTCCATCTGGTAATTTATATACATTAACAATCACCACATTTTACAATTTGTAGCTATCTGACAAGCAGTCTGGCTGGGAGCTCAAACCAGTCAGTCGTTGAGGTAGGCCAACGCCGAAACACCTAACACCATGACCTAAGTCACCACATAAAAATGTGGGGTGAAAAAATTCAGCCTAAGCGGGAGAACCCGAAAGCGGTAAGCTTGTCACCTCACAACAAAATATAGCCAATCCCGGAACCCCGGATGAATAGGGACGTGCCAGTAAGTGTTGTTGAGGTCCAGAGAAATCCTCCAAGCACTCGGCCCGAGAGCGAGGCAGACCTAGGACAACGTAGTCATCTGAAAGGAGGGGCAAGTTATCAACCAGTTCAATCTGGAAAGATCTACAATGTACCAGAGGTCTGAACAATCACATTTCAGGACCGGAAACAGGCGGGAGACCCACCGAAGAGACTAGGTCGCTTCAACCACATCCAAATGCACCCACTACGAGAGGACTTGACGAAGGCAGGGAAAGCGGGAAGGCCTGCCCCAAAGGCCCTGAACCTCCCATAGAAGGCGCAACGACCCAACTCCTTCACAGACCTGAAACTCAAACAAATTGTTAGACCAAGAGCAAGCAAACCAAGCAAGTCCCCTCTCCCACCACCTCGTCAAAGGAACGACCTGCAAAAGGGCCAGTGGGACCCATGGAAGCCAGACTTCCGAGCAGAGCGAGCACGGCGCAGACCAGTCGAAGAACAGGCTGGGGGAACCGCACCTGACCCGGTTGCTGGCACCACAGAGGATCTACCTCGACCAAAAGCAGGCGCAGCCCTGGCTCTACCCTACCAGGAAGGCCCAGATCAACTCCCCCCTCCCCCCCCCAAGACACAGCAAACCAAAAACAGGATGGCAACTCACAGAGGCAACCAAGCAAAAATGATAAACAATAGACTAGAGCCAGACCGATGATGACTACCAGGCACAAACATCAGTATAGAAAAAAGGAGGAGGTTGGGCCCAGATGACGCAGGCCGGCTCCATTTTTTCCCCATGAAAGAGTGGATGTGGGGGTAAACTAACAGGAAGGGGGGAGGCTAGTTTCACAAAATTTTGGTAGTTTGTTTTCATTGTGGGGAAGTTCAATTGGAAATTCGGGGCTGGGGTCTTGATGGAGACCAGGTTCTGGCTCGTGGTCCCCAGTAGAACTCTATGACTGATGCCACCTAGTATTATAGCACTTTATGAGTGTGATAGCTTCAGGGAGCCGACGGGGCTTCCCTCAGAAAATGCAACTTTGTCAGGCCACTACAGACAAACTACAAGAAGTAGAAACTTTTTACAGTACAGGTACTTTGATTTCATGCTTCCTGGATACTAGTTAACAATATCAAAAGAAGAAGAAAAAAATGTCTTCTTTTGTATCACAGGAGGATACAAAAATGACATGCAGGTTAATGCAGCAAAGGCTTCCAGCTTGCATCCCATAAAGCCTAACACACTTCCCTCACCCTACTAAAGTAATTATCACAAAAAGACACCCAGCCAGGAAGCCCATGTTGCTCACACTACCATAGACATTGTAGATTAAGCATTACATACTGAGTTTGTGAATTTTGAGGATCGACTCTGAGTGACGCCATAGCAGAGACTGTCTCCTGTTCTTCCTCCCGTCCTTGAGCTTCCACCATAGACAGTGCAATCATTCCACTCTGCCGCCGTACCACAGGCCAGTGGCCACTCTGTTGGAGGGAAAATGACCATATTCAATATAACGGACTGTAGACATTATAACATATTCAAGTTGAAGACTGACCTGAGCTTATCCTCTTTTTTTTTCCCAGCAGCATACAAAATATGATTGAGTAACGTTAAATCATTACTCAATCGAGTAAAATTTAACGTTAAATTGAGGGAGGGAGGCAGGGCAAATGAGCTCACACACGTTTATATTGTTCGGGGAAGTTCTTTCGGCAGAGTTCTTTAGTTGGGGTTCCGACCTGCCATCTTGCTGAATTCATCACTTTACTGGCCTAGTGCATAGATAGATGTGGTTTTGTCCTTGCTTTTGTATACAGGTCAATTTTTTCACAAGAAAGTAAATTTTGTTATTGTGTATAAGAGATGCTCTTTATGTTAGTCAATGAATCTGCCCCTTAGCAGCATAATTAAATACCAGAGGTGAATTATTTTCAAAAGTATACTTTGTATACTGGGAATGAGGAAACAGAACATCATCAGTTGTGGGTTATGTGTAAAGTGCATTTAATTCTTAAACAGGTGCAACGACTACTACACGTAGCACACAGGACCACTCTTCATCACTGCTCGCCAGCAACTTAATTATAACACCACAACATTTTATGTAGTCTTAGGGGTAAAGAGCTGATTGCTAAGAGGTGGGACCTAAGAGCTAGATCTCACTTCTCACAACTAGGGATAGAAAAAGTTTTGTAATAATTTTTTAAGTAAATATTTAAGACATACCTGAACAGCAATGACATTCTGCAATGTTTCAACAGCATTTTGGCAAGGTGGTCTGGTCATTTCATGTTCGGAGAGAGGTGGTGGATCATCACTAGTGAGGGTTTTTACGCACGCTTCCGTCGCATCACAGATGCTGGCTAAATTGTAGCCTCCTTCAAGAGCTAATACCACCTGAGGATAACATAACAATTGTTAGCTCTGTGAATACATATATTGTACTTGTTGGACAAGTAACTTTTTGTTTGCAATGGAAAAATAGTGTATATATAACTTTGTAGTAAATTTTACAGATGCTGTATATCTATTCACATACTATGATGTCACTAAAAGTTAACATTACTGTTTATGCTCGGTAATCCAAATCACATGGGCCCACCATCACTGAGTTAGTCGAATATTTTAACAGGAATTTCCAATTATAATTAATAATTCATTGTGTTGGGGGACAGGCAGCCAGTTTATACATACAGTAATGTTAGGCTTATATCAAGGTCCCCCCAAAGTCGAATTACTGACTGGACCAAGAATGTAACCTGACAACAAGCTGACTAACTCCTGCGTACCTATTTACTGCTAAGTGGACAGGGAAATTAGGTGAGAGGAAATGTACTTAACCATTTCTCACATAGGTGCAAGGAGCAGAACATTTGGGATCACAGTAACCGAAGCAACAGGCCACCAGAAAGGCAAGATGAAACATAAACATAAGCAATGTAAAAATAAAACCAGCAATGTAAAACTAGGAGCTTCCCCCAGAACACCAGTGTTGAATGTAATGAAATGTTAATTTCTGGGTGAGTCCTGGAGACTTCCTGAAGCTATTACACTAATACCATACCATACTTGCCATCAGTCATGGAGTTCTATTAGCCTACCGGGAACCACAAGCCAGAACCTGGCCCCTTCAGAGATGCGCAGGGAGCAGTAACACTATGGACACTTTAAATGTAAAGTAATTCATGTCTGCCACCACCAGGGAAGGAACCCAGAAAGTCAGGGGAAACAAAACAGACCACTGCATGGTTAAAACTGACACTGTAGCCTCAAAACTGCCAAAACAAGTTCCTCAATTATGACAACACACAAACACAATTTTGTGAAACTAGCATGAGATAGTTTGCCTCACCTCCACCCCTCACATGGGGAAAGGAGGCAGGCAGACCGGGTCGGCCGACTCGCACCACCCCTCAGTTCTTATGTTGATGGAACACTAGACTTCCTGCAGGGATGAGGGTAGGAAGGTTGTCAGAGCCCCCCCAAGGCTCACCTAGAAATTCATGTTTCATTACATTCAATACTGGTTTTCTGGGAGAGACATTCCCAGAGGTGTATCACGGCCAGACATTCGGCCGTGATACACAACCCAATGCAACACAAGGCTGCTGAGAACCGAAAATGTTCATGACCGCCAAAACTCCCCATGCCCGAATATCGGCTCAAGACATATATATGCGAACACAGCCATCAGAGTTGCACACTTCTTGACATCATGATAATGAGGGTAGACTGCAGGCTGGCTAGCTTCTATGACTGCAGACGGCCTGAGAAATAAGAGCCATGGAACAGGAAACCAATGAAACTGGATCAACCCATTAGGAGTCTACCAAAGCAGAACTGGTGTCTCGAAGGTAACGACAATGAAGGGACAGGAAATGGCAGAAGGAACACCATGACACTTCATACTATAGCCAGGAAGAAGACCGCAGGTGGGACACCATTAACCAGCCACCTGGTCACCATAGAGATTATGATAAATACGTGTCAGAAAATCCAGATGCGTAGATCGGAAGAAAATGCCGAACCAGCAAGATACATCACTAGCCCGACCTTCAGAAAGTGGTGGAGCCGCGGAAAAATGCCCGGGTTTGGACATCAAGCAAGCAGTGCTTGAAACCAAGGCTGGGTCGGCCACCAAAGAGCCAGAAGAATCACTCTTCCCCCTGTAAGACTCCAGATGCACAAGCACTCGGAGAAACAGTTGGACTGGGGCAATATAAGGTAAAGAAACTCCTGTCTCGACCAGTCCAGCTGAAAGGTGTCCACTGCAAGAGCCTTGCAGTCGCGGAACTTTACTGCATAAAGACGCAGATTCTGAGACCACACCAATGTGAAGAGGTCAATGTCCGGATGGCCGAACAGCCAATAAAGTCAGAGGAAGGAATCAGCATCGACAATCAAATCCATGGAGAGGGGGATTTAACTGGGACAGACCATCGCCAAGACACTGGACACTCCCTGGACGTCCACGGCACAGAGATGAAAACCCTGAGAACTTAACAGACGAGCCCCTTGAAGCCACCCAGTCCAAAGAGACAGTGACTGCAGGGACCCCCATGGTTGAGACAATGAACCACAGGGGAAGCAGTCCGAATGGAGCCGGATGAAGCTGAACCATTTGCAGCACCTGCCACTTGGCCGCAAACTCCTGAATCATACTGTGCCCCCCGTCTACGGTAGAGATGCCAACGACCCTGGTCGGCTTGGTGAGTGCTGGTCACAAAGCCCAAACCAAGAACCGAGGCGTCTGTGAAGACCTCAAGCGAGGGCAGAGGAAGGTGGCTGGGGAACTGAACCCCAAAAAGGCCAAAGAGGAAGTCAGTGACACAGCAACCAGCACAGGGCCACAGATGTCCGTACCCAGTGATCACAAGAGCAGTAAAAGGAGCTTTCCCAAAGAAACCAGAAAAACCACAAAGCCAAGCCGTGCCCAAGGAAAAAACCAGAATGGCAACATTCAGGCTCCGGCACAACTGCTCGAGCAACTGCCAAGTCACCAGGCTCCCACACAACACCAGAAGACAGCATTGCTACAGACAGAGCAACGGGGGGGGGGTCTGGGGCTTTCCCTTCCCCCTCCCGGGGAGGGGGGAGCTGTGCAGACGGTAGTGCGGTGACGGTTGTGACGTCATATACGCTTGCTCGTTTTTTGTTTTGTTTTGGCGTTGGGGGGGGGGGGATTCTGTCCAACAATTCGGCTTTCTGTAGCAATTTTTTGTAACCATATAGAGTTTGTTTTGGGGGTGCCTGACCCGGTTGATGGCAGACATAGAATGCTTCCAACCACACAGGGGCTTCTATAGGCCATTGCTTCTCATGCCTCTCTGAGGGGGCCAGATTCTGACTCGTGGTCCCTGGTAGGCCTAGAACTACATTTGCTTTGACTGATGCCAGTGTGTAATATATTCATATCAGCCCTGGATAGCTCCGGGGAGCCGAAGGGGGGCTCCCCCCAAAAAAACATTAAAAATTTCCCTTTTGCAAATAGAGTAGTAGACAGTTGGAACAAATTAAGTGAGAATGCAGTCGAGACTAAAACCATCAATAGTAACGAGTACTATGAAGACCATGAGGGTAGTTATTATCCTGTAACTACACTCAGCTAATTACCAGACTTCCTTGCCTCCATTTAAGTAACTAGATTCTGGTACTGGTCCCCAAGAGGTACTGGTGACTAACAAGTAGCTAGGGAAGCCAATGTAGGGAGACCTCCTAGAAAATACATACAACAATCTATATACTTTTGTTATAGCTTTTCAACAAGTAAATCACAAAAGAAATAAGATACGTTAGTTTTGGCATTTATAACTATAGTGTTATGAGCCTACCTTGCCTCTAGCAAGAGTCATGAGTTGTTTGGTCATGTGGCCAAAGCAGCTGGCAGACACCTTGTATCCCCCCAGAGGTGACGGGTGACCATCAGCCGCATCAAAACCAGCACTCACTAATACTATGTCTGGATTAAAGTCCTGAAAAAAAAATGAATATATATATATATATATACCTGTATGCAAGAAAATACTGTATGCAAAACTTTCTGTGTGAGCTTAGATCCTCAATTATCCTTTTAGAAATGTCTCTTCCAATTATGCTGGTCATCTTATTATTAAATTATTCAAGTTTTAATAATAATATGTATTTTAATATAAATAATGTGTATTTTACAGTCATATTTCTATTCATATGTCAAAAACCTTTATTAGGATGGTGAACTAAGTCTGAAATCAGGAAATACCTGTACTCCCAAAAATAACAGTTTAGATAAAGAACAAATTATTAGACAGCAGACCTGCATTTATCAGAAGAAAGAAAAATAAGGCAGAAATATAACACATTAAACCTGTTGGGAGCCCACACCAGCCAGTCGTTGCAGTAGGCCAACAACCGAACACTGAACAACTGAAGATGGGTGACCATGAATTGAGATAAATGTGTAAAAATGCAAGGTGCCAGATTCAGCCTGAATGGAAGAACCCAAAGAAGAAAGCACGCCACCCCACCACTAAATCTAACAAATCCTTGAAACTCGGATGGATGGGGACGTGCCGATATGCATCCTTGAGGTCCAGGGAAATCATCCAAGTGCCTAGTGCCCGGCTCAAAAATGAGACAGCACAACGTAGTCACCTGAAAGGAGGGGCAAGGAATAAACCAGTTCAATCAGGAAAGGTCAAGAATGAATTGGATGTTCGAACAATCCCATTTCAGGAATGGAAACAGACGGAAAACCCACTGAAGAAACGAAGTAATTTTGACCACACCCGAAGCTACCCACTTTGATATGACGTTACAAAAGCAAGGAAAGGAGAAGGGGACCATGCCCCGAAAGCTCCGACTCCCCCAAAGAAGGCGAGATTGACCAACTCCACTGCAGGCCATAAGAAACGACCTGAAAAACCATAAATCGTAGGACCTAGAGCTGGCAAACTGAGCTAGCCTCTCGACCACCCTGTCAAAGGGGTGACCCTCTGACAGTGCTGCAGAAGACCATCATGCCCACAAGGGCATTTTAGTATTTTGCAGACAAAAAGAACAAATACAATGCCTCTGGAGAAGACCTAAAGTTCCCTGACTCTAAAACTAGAGGCGAGCACCAACAGGAAAAGCTCCTTAAAAACAGAATCATAAATCGAATGAGAAACCATGAAACAAGAAGAAGAAAAAAGGGCCAAGAGACCAGGAGGGCTCAGCCTAGGCAAGAGCAGGCTGGAGATGAAATAATGCATAAATCAGCGCCATGGTAGTATCGACACCAAATGCAAGTAGCACTGACTCCGGCAGCACTGAACAATAAGAGGCAACAGTAGTGAGATTATGATGCCTGTCTAGAACCAACCAAAGAAAAGATGAATGGACCACACACACACAGAGACAGAAGAATGACAACGAAGGGACAGGAAGCTGCAAAAAACCAACAATGAATGCAATGAAACAGCGCTTTCTGGGTGAGACCCAGAGGCTCCCTGGAGCTATCTGGGCTGAAATGAATGTATTAGACCCCTGGCATCAGTCAAGCAAATGGAGTTCTTAGGCCTACTGGGGACCACGAGCCAGAACCTGGTCCTCTCAGAGAGGCACAAGGAGCAATAACCTAAAGAAATCCCTGTGTAGTTGGAAGCATTCTGTCTGCCATCTACTGGGTCAGGCACTCAGAAAGGTAGGTGCCCCAAAACTATCTCTATCTAGTTAAAAAATTGCTACTGAAAGCCTAACTGTTGGGCAGAACTCTCAAATCTAAAAACAGTTAAACAAGCATGACGTCACAACTGTCACCGCACCGCCGTCTGCGAAGCTCTCCCCTCCCCGGGAGGGGGAAGGGGGGGCGCTAAAGCCTCCCTGAACCAGCTATCCACACCCCCCAGTTCAGAGACTGGATGTCAAAAACCGCGGAAAAAACTGCCGACCGGAGGAAGGTAGGGGGTTGCTGGGGAGCCTCTGGGTCTCACCCAGAAAATGATGTTTCATTACATTCAACGGTGTTTTTTTGGGGAAGTCCCTTCAGCTCCCCGGAGCTACTTAACCTTCCCAATAATTTACCTGGGAGGCAGTCGCCCCTTGCTCCTCACCACGAAGTCGAGACAACTGGCTGCAACCGCTAACCCAATGCGACACAGGCCCGGTTAGGCCAAGGAACACTGACTAGGTAGTGAGCGACCAGGACCCTGTTTAACCTTCAAACACCCCGTGCCTGAATGTCAGCCCAAGACATATTACCAAAGACTGCAGCCAACGCAGTAAACTTACGAACATCATGGGCATGAGGATAAACCATAGGCTGGCAGGACCAAATAACCCTGCGAATGACCTGGCAGACCCGAACCCTGGAACAGGGAAGAAGGGAATCCAGGTCAAGTGCGTCCCCGGCCACCGAGGCCATGGTGAGCAGGTAATGGCGAAGAGCTGCAACCGGACACAACACATGATTCACCCCTGGCTGAACCAACCAAGCATCAACAACCCACAGGTGCCTCCAGAAAGCAGCATTCTCATTCTTCACCAGAAAACGAGAAAACGTCTGCAAACGAACAAACCAACCACCAGGACCTAAAGAGCAAAACCCCCTGTGCTGGAGGAGAGCATAAAGCTCCCTAACCCAACCCCCAGAAGCCAATGCCAACAGAAAAAGAGCCTTTGAAAAACAATCTTGAAACTGAAGGGGCCACCACAAACCGAAGAGAAGATAGAAAACAGAGCACCTGATCCAACGACCAGGACAGCTCAGGAGGAGCATGAGCAGCCAGAGGTAAAACAATGCATGAGAAAACTTGCGGAACAGAGCAGAAGTAACATCCACCCCTAACACAAGCTGAAGCTGCTCCACCAGTGCCGCACGATACGAGGCATAAATATTCGGCATAAAATGACGGTCCTGAAACAACCAAGAAAGGAAGGACAAGACAACCCAATCCGAAACTGAAGAAAACCTATGGCGGGACAAGAAATAACGAAAGGACTGCCAAGGAAGCCACCTGCTCACCATACAAATGGTTATGCACCCGCATCAGAAAGACCAGATGCGAAGACTTGAGGAGAAGATCGAACCAGCTCTGTAACGGACTGGCCCTCGATCTGCTAAAAGAGGCGGAGCCACAGGAAAACTCTCGGGTTCGGACACTGAGCAAGGAGTGGCTGAAACCAAGGCTGGGCTGGCCACCATGGAGCCAAGAGAACTACTTTCCCTTGGTAAGTCTCCAGGCAAGCCAGGACCTGGAGCAACAGCGGAACTGGGGAGAAGAGGTACAGATAACCCCACCTTGACTAGTCCTGCCTGAAGACATCGACTCAGATGGCTTTGCAGTCAGGGCAGGGCGCTGCATATAACGGGAGATGCTGATGTGGACGGCCTAGATGACAGGCCGTTCGCTAGGACATTGGAAACCTTCCCCCCTGAACATGAATGGCCAGGAGAAACAAACCCCAATAATTCAGCAGATGAGCCACCAGAAGCGACCAACCCCAAAGAGCCAAGGACTGCATTGAACATTCGCGGTTCAGGCAATGTACTACTGAGGAGCAGTCCGGATGGAGCTGGATCATCGATCCGCGAGTGACCCGAATCCTCCAAAGCGACATCCACACTGCCGCGAACTCCTGCACCGTGCTAAGGGCCCGACAGAAGGATGGACCCCACCTCCCCTGGCTGGCCTGGGAAGCACTGGTCACAAATCCCCAGCCAAGAGACGACGCATCCATGAACACATCGAGCGAGGGCTCCAGTAGGCGCCAAGGCTCTAAACTCCGAAAAACCCGAAGAAGAAGCTGGCGACGCAGCAGCTGACGTAAGGCACCCAGTGGTCGAACCCAGCAATCTCAAGAGAGGTGGAAGGGATGTCCCCGAAGGAACCAGAACAGCCACCGAAGACAAACCCGACCCAGCGGGTATACCATCACGGCAAAGTTCAGACTCCCGCAAAAACCCTTGAGCAACCGCCTCGTGACCCGGGAACCCCACAGAAACAAGCGAAGGCAGAACTGCAGCCGCAGCAAAGCCTCCGGATAGCGTCATTAACTAGGTAGTTGGAAGATGACCTTGTCGATGGCAGTTGACCTTGTTAGTGGTCCGAGAGTCCTACATATGATCCAGCCAAGATCTGGATCTTGGCCAGCCAAGACCGAACCTGAGAGGGACCCAGATGAGACTTCCACCAGTTAACCAAGAACCCAAACCCGGCGAGCTGGGAAAGAACCAAATCCCTGGTGAGCAGATACGCGGACTGGCTGAGAGCCCACACGAGCCAGTCGTCAAGGGAGGCCAGAACCCAAACCCTTAAGAGATGCAGACGGGCCACCACAACCTGGGAAGGTGTGTGAACATGTGAGGTGCCAGATTCAAGCCAAATGAAAGGCAATGAGGAGCAACCGAGGAAACTGAACCAGTCCCTGACCCCAGATGAATCGGGACATATGGATAGCTGGTGCGGGGGGGGGGGTCTGGGGCTTTCCCTTCCCCCTCCCGGGGAGGGGGGAGCTGTGCAGACGGTAGTGCGGTGACGGTTGTGACGTCATATACGCTTGCTCGTTTTTTGTTTTGTTTTGGCGGTTGGGGGGGGGGGGGCTGGGGGGGGATTCTGTCCAACAATTCGGCTTTCTGTAGCAATTTTTTGTAACCATACAGAGTTTGTTTTGGGGGTGCCTGACCGGTTGATGGCAGACATAGAATGCTTCCAACCACACAGGGGCTTCTATAGGCCATTGCTTCTCATGCCTCTCTGAGGGGGCCAGATTCTGACTCGTGGTCCCTGGTAGGCCTAGAACTACATTTGCTTTGACTGATGCCAGTGTGTAATATATTCATATCAGCCCTGGATAGCTCCGGGGAGCCGAAGGGGGGCTCCCCCAAAAAAAACATTAAAAATTTCCCTTTTGCAAATAGAGTAGTAGACAGTTGGAACAAATTAAGTGAGAATGCAGTCGAGACTAAAACCATCAATAGTAACGAGTACTATGAAGACAGTACACCATGAGGGTA